TGTGAGAGACACACATTGATTGGTTGCCTCCCACATGCACCCTGACCAGGGCCGGGGACTGAGCCTGCAACCGAGGTACATGATGTGCCCTTGACTGGAATCGAACCCAAGACCCTTCAGTCTGAGGATCGACACTCTAACCACTGAGCCAAACCAGCTAGGGTGATAGATGATCCTTTCTTATCCATTAAGTCACAGCCCTCCACCCCTTCTATAAGTGGTTAAACTTAGATTTAGAATAAGACGCCTGTGGTTTTCTTCCATCTCACCTGGTATCTGTGCCATGAAAGAGCCCATAAGAATGTGCAGGCTCCTGTGCATCTGGCTTACTGTGTGCATATAGACATGTTCCAGGGGACTACCAGCAAGGCTGGACACGGTCCACTTTCCTCTCCTGATCTCTCTACTTGGCTCTGCGACTCGAAAGGTTGAGTAACATGAACTATATCTACTTGGCAATCCTGCCCCTGGAGTCCAGTTGGGTTTGCCCAGTAGAAGGCACAGACAAGACACTGGAGGGTCAGAGATGCTTTTTCTCCTGCCCCTCCCTGCTAGGCTAGAGGTTGTCAGTGTCTCCATTCCCACCATCACATAAGCTTCTGTCCAAAGCCCTCTCCTACCACTTCAGATCTCTGAAAATAGCTCTCTTCTTCCAAAAGAACTCTTACCCTTTCAGGCATGAGGGTGACAGTCATAGTCACCATCTAAGGTGGCTGGCCATTCATTGCTGCTGGCCCTTGAACACTGCTGCCCGGTTTTCCATAATGCCACCTAGGACTTTGTAAATGATCCCTTCATTAAATTCTTGTTCACCCCTTCTGAGTGTGCCTCCTCTTTCCTGCCAGGACCCTGACAAATACACATAAGTGGAACCAGTCTGCATTTTCTTCAAAAATATTTACGACATCACATTTCAAGTGTTTTATGTTTTTCTCTGTATGCAACTCCAAATACAGAAGTCACACAGAAGCAAAATAACAGATACCAAAAATCTACAGGCTACATTTGGGGCTCCTTACTTTTTCTGGTGAGAGGTGGTGCGCCTGGTGCAAAAGACAGCAATGACCACAACCACCACGATGGTGATGACCCCAACAGAGATGATGATGACCAGTAGCATATTACTGTCCAGAGGAGAGGTGGGGCTTCCATGGGGGCTGTTACTGCCTGGAGAGAAAAGAATGGTACATTAGTATTAGAAAATTCTAGAAATGCATAGAGTCAGGCTGTAGAACCTTCATGTGAGTAGAGATACTTTGTATGAGCTTCTTTCTAATGCTCACCACCGCGCCTTGGGTAAAAGTGTCTAATGAAAACGGCTATCTCCTTTAGATTATGAAATCCAGAAAGCTGAGTTTTTGCCCTATGAACATTTCTCAGTACAGTGCTTTGCACAAAGCCATTCAAGAAAAGCTTCAGAAATTATACTGAATATTATACTTGGAAAAATAAAGGGTCTTCCCTTGTGTCTTATGTCATATATAAACTCATCTTATAAAGCACCATTTGTAAATTATTTAGTTTTCTGACTTTCGAAACTATTTTTAAATTGTACATTCACAGAAAGCAAAAGTTTTTTTCCAAAATATGTCTGAGATCACAAAAAATTACTTCAAAAATAAAGTCTCTCTGTTTTTATAAAACAGTTTATGCAGAGTTAGTTCTCTTACTCCATTTCAGGAAAATGTAGGTCTGCATGTATGCATTAATTTGACAAATAGTTAATGAGTGGTTGCTAGGTGCCAGGCATTGTTCTGGGTACTAAAGATGAGGAAGCAATGGTGAGCAACAGAGACATGAATGTTGGGGTGGGGGTGGAGCCAAATGGTAAGTCACAAATTATTAGCAATGAGTGCTATGAAAAAAATCAAATGGGGGCTATAATACAGTAACTGGGTGGCTATTTTATATTGAATGGTTGGAAAAAGCTTCTCTGAGAAGATGGCATTTGAGCTGAGATTTGAATGAAAGGAGAGGTCCCACCATATGAAGACCTGCAGGAAGAACACTGCAGAAGGAGGGAACAGCCTAGGGGAAGGAGCCTAAGGCAGGAATGAGCGTGGTGTGATAAAGGAAGAGAAAGGTAGCCACTGCTGCTTAAGCAAAGAGAGAAATGCAAACTTCAAGGGAAGGAAGTGAGCAAAAAAGGACAGAATGAGGTTGGAGAGGTGTACAGGGGCCATTTAGAACTTTGAGGAAGTTTAGATTTTCTTCTTCATTATAATAATAATTATTATAATAACAACAAATATTATTATTACAACAATGATACTTATTATTTTCCCAACTGCTTACAGGATGGGGTCCAAGCTTTTTTGGAGGTCTTCTGTAACCTAGCTTTTTTCTAAGTTCTTTTCCATTTTCTGAAGCATTTTTTTGCTTCCCACCTCATTATAAAAGTTATGCATGCTCATACTATAGAATATGGGCAATCCCACCATAGAGATCTAACCACCATGGATATTTGATGTCTTTCCTTCTAGTTTCTCTACCTCTTATCTTTCTAACAATCAGAGCTGTACAATAGGAGGACACTGCTTTGCCAAGTAATGAGTGTTTAGTCACTGGAAGTACATAGAGTCATCCTATCAGGCTGGGACGTTGTAGGATAAATTCCTACCATGAAGCTGTTTTTAGAGAAAAAGCTCTCAAAGTGAATTTCATATACAGCCTGGTTTATAAACTTATGATCTAATCCAAACAATACTAATTGTGGGGATCCTTTCCATAACATTGGATTAGCTGACCTTCCAAGTTTTGATGTTATGATTTTATAGGCTACATCTAAGCACAGTGCAGAACCTGGGTGATTTAGGAGAGCTTAAGAGCTTATTCTTCTACATTTGGTTCAATCATTTTTATCCTTCATTTCTGAGAAAAAGGTAAGCAGATAAACAACTCAAATTGTACACACTGACCTTAAATAAAATAACATTTTAAAAAGTAAAATAACATTTTTATATTTGGGGAAGACTACAGAACTAGGGGCCAATAAATTAGGCCATATTCGGGTTTTGCATGAAACTTTTATTAACAGAGCTGCTGGGCAGGGTATGCAATAGGGCAGGCATTGAAAGGAGAGACTGGGGAGCTCTCAGGGGTTAGGAGGAAAGCAGAGGTGGGGCTGGAAAGCAGTTGTTCTCTGCATTCAACAGAGATGAGTTCCCATTTAACATTATTTGACCTCTAACTTTGAGCTTGCCAAAATCTCCCTTCTAAGATAGAGTAGGAGTGAGCTCCCAAAGGGAGCATCAACCCTTCTACCAGGGTCGTTACGATAGGCCATTTCTTAAACTTCCTAACCACCTTTTCCAACTTTACGCTCTTACCTCCCCAACTCATTCTTCACTGTTTACTAACTATAGATACTCAAAAAACAGAGAAGTCATAGTTTACCAGTATCAGACATCTTACATATGTTATTTATAGGATGAAGTTCACATTTCTCAGCACTTGCGCCTTTGATAGGTTGGTCCTAACCAACCTTCCCTAACCTGAGAATCTTTATCCTGCCTCTATGCAGTGTGATCCCTGGTGACAGTGGTTGTTTTATATTGCCAGGCCTTTGCACATGCCCTTTTTGCTTCTTGGAATGTTTAACCCACTCCTTGACATTTACAATCTCCTATGCATCCTTTAAAATCTGGGTCAGATATCACTTCTACAAAGCTTTCCCTTATCTCTATTAGGTTGTATGTTACTCACTCCTTTTGCTCCCATAGCCTATTATATAGAACCCGAATCTTTAAAAAAATGTATGAATGAATGAATGCATAAATGAAAGAAAAGACAAAGAAATAATTACTTTTTTCACAACATTTTTTTGCTTCTCACCTCATTATAAAAGTTATGCATGCTCATACTGTAGAACAGTATGAATATTATATTGTGGACAGAACATAAAAGTAACATATGCATCCCAAGAGAAAAAAAACTCACAAAGTCCTAGAACTAGGAGATTAAAAATTTCTTAAAGCATGCAAGTTTGTCTGGTTCTCCAAAGAAGAGGCTGATTTCACAAGTGTGGGCAGTACCACTTTTTTTTTAATCCTTACCCGAGGATATGTTTTTTGGCTTGAGAGAGAGAGGAAGAAAGAGAGAGAGAGGAAGGGATGGGGGGAGAGAGGTGACAAACATCAATCAGTTGCCTCCTGTAGGTGCCCTACTGGGGATCGCGAACCTGAAACCTAGATATGTGCCCTGAGAAATGAACCTGTGACCTTTTGGTGTATGAGACGATGCTCCAACCAAGTGAGCTACCTGGCCAGGGCAGGGCAGGACCACTTTTTATTTAAATAGAGAGCTAGATATTAAGAGATCATTTTATTTTCACAGTTAAGAGTAGGAGTTTCCAGGGGACACGCCTTTTTCTTCCATGTCTTACAGGAGACAGTAAGGATTATTTCTAGCAGCTATTTGTATGGATTTTCACCAATACCAGATTTCTACATCTGGAATAGAACCTGTGCCTTTTAGACTGTGTGTGATAGTGGAAAAGGCACAATGAGATGTCAGAAGACCTGGGTTATGATTCTAGGACTTCCATAATTAGTGGGTGGATCCAGGCAGATTACTTCTCCACTGAGTCTCTTAATGTTTAAAATGGGAATGACACTGGTTTTCCCTGCTTGAAAATGATTTCATGTCTGAAAGTAACTTACAAATGGTGAAGTTCTGTAGAAGAGTAGGTATCATCATTAAGTAATTAGAAGGCACCAGCTCTTAGGATGGCTATAAGAGTGGGAAAGATTTTTTAGAATTCCCAAACTAAAAACGCTATAGTAAGTAGTCTGGGGAGAAATTAATGATTCTGAAGCATTTCTTTGGCTTGGGTGGTGGCTAATTCCACTAAATAATTTATTTTTGAAAACAAAATTCTAATTTTTTTCTAGAGGCAGTAGGCAAAAGGAAGGCTTGTTTGTTCATAATTTTAAGTTGGATATGGGGGAAACAATTTTATTTATAGACCCCATGAATAGGTTTGCAGTAATTCAAGAAATATTTGCCAGGTAAGTGCCTAAAGCTAACTCTATTAAATAAAAGGAAATAGGTAACATGCTATAATCACTGCACACAAGCTTTAAGGCCATTTCAAGATGTCAAGCAGAATTGCATCAAGCCCACAGTAGGCAACAGGGCCACAGGAGGGGCTTTACCGCTCATGGGAGGTTTGTAGTCAGATCCCAGGTCTGGCAGCCGGCTTCCTTTTCCTGCAGACCCTGAGGCTGAAGGAGAAAAAAAAAAATCACGTCAGTAATGGCCCAACTCCAGGAGTGACAAGTCCACTTCACGGCTAGTGAGCGTTTTCTATAAAAAAATATTTTCAGTCTACTTTGTTAATGAGAAAAGGAAATAACATATCAACAACCGGGGAAAATATAGTCTATTGGTGCAAAACAAACTAAGTTCTAGCTTTCTATGCAATGAGGCATCTGAAAGGCTGACACCCTTTCCATGGCTGTATTTAGTGTGCAACTAGACTGCCACTCACTATTCATAAGGTGGGAACATACCCCACTTCTCCAGCCCAGGAAATAAGTTTCTGAAAGGTGGCTCAGAGCACTGATGCAAAAGTAGCTTCTCTTGGAAAAGGAACCAAGAAAACCAGTTTGATTAGCTTCTGCAACAAAGAACCAGACTCTTCTTTTCTCAAATTATAAAGTTGCCTTTCCCTAAGCAGGAGCAGGAAGACAAGCGGAGGTTTAAATTGGGGTCTCAGTTCTTGCTCAGTCACCTAAATACACAAAAGATCGAAAGACAAAGTCTTTACTCTAGTTGCTCACAAAAGACACTCTAACCTGTCATCAGGGAACACAGTAAGGCTGCTGACCTTAGGCTTGAGGCCACTTCACAAGTGGGCCTCAGAAAATGCAAATATCAGTGTTTTAGAAATTCTTATCCCTTTTTTTTAATTCTCAACTGAGGATATTTTTTTCCATTGCTTTTCAGAGGGGGAGTGGGGGTGGGAGGGAGAGAGGGATAGAGAGAGGGATGGAGGGAGAGAGACAGAGAGAGAGAGAAAGATAGATCAATGTGAGAGAGACACATCAATTGGCTGCCTCCCACACATGCCCCTACCAAGGCCAGGGATCGAGCCTGCAACCAAGGTATGTGCCCTTGGCCGGAATTGAACCCAGGACCTTTTAGTTCGTGCGCTGACGCTCTAACCACTAAGCAAAACTGGCCAGGGCACCTATCCTTGGCCTGGGATTTTGTTCTTCACATTTATAGAAAAAGCTGCTTGGGTAAAGCAAATACAAGGAGTCTTTTCCCAATAAAGCAAAGATATCCCTCAACCCAAAGCTTGGGGCCAGAAAGTAATATCAGACTTCTCTTGAAGAGGTCGGAAAGAATTGCAAAGTAAAAGCTGCTCCTCAAAGTTAAGCTCAAAGCTTAACAGACTGTCAACCCTTGCATACTGGCTCTACCATGCACTAACAAACAGTGTGACTTTTGGCAAGTTTAACTATCCTGTTTCCTCATTATAAAACAGTAATAATAATGGTATCTACTTCATGAAACTATTGTGAGCATTAAGTGGAAATTTAATCCTATAAAATACTTTCAGTGCTGCCTAACAGGCAGTAAATGTTCAATAAATATTAACTACTATTATTACAAGCATAATAAATCTTTAGGGAAGAATATATTCTTTCTCTTTATAGAGGCAGAGCGCATGAAGCTTCAAAAACACTTATAAATAGTAATTTATATAAATTAAACTTGGCTAGAAATTCATAAACTAGATGTGTTTCTGTAAAACATTGGTGTTAACATCAAGTACTTCTATAAATTATCATACTTGAAGGAAATGAAAGAAATTAAAATCTGAAGGTTTTTGTGTGTAGTTCTTTTAACAGAATAAATCTAGAGACAAAAAACAGTGTTTTCTATGTTTCCTCAAGTTCAAAACCCCAAAAGGTAACAGAAGTTCTTGGGTATGCAAAAGGGCACACGCTGGAAGTCAGCTCACTGTCTCTCCCCAATTGCCCATTCTAATTCCTTTACCCCCTTACTTCTGCTGCTGCCATCCTCCCAAATGGCACACGCCACACATCAAGGTTTCAGCTGTTCTTTTCACTATGAGTAAGTTTAGCTGGTGGAATGACCTAGCACTTGTAAGGCTCTTCATGTTTAAGTGCCCTTATTTGTCAGGTAGTCCACATTTACGACAAACTATCTAGAGATTCATATTATGTAAATAATTGCCAAAGAACGCACTTTGCGATAAGCTGGTTGGTTTAATTCCTGTATTTCCCAACATTTTTTTCTTTTAAATTTAACCTATGAACAAGAAATCCCAAGGATTAACCAAACACCAAATATAAATATGGGCAAAGAATTTTTAAATATCAGAGGTGGGGTGCAGTTCAGAACTGCACTCTGGCTTATGGCATGACGCCAGGAAAGAACAACAAGCACATTTATATTCTGTGCATATACAGAATGGTTATTTTTCTTTTCTTACACTTAAGTAAAAGTTTCTACCATGATTAGGGTGCCTCCCTCCCCCATATGAAAGCATGTGTGCAGTTTCTCCAAAGTACAACAAAAGACTCATTGAATGCAAACACATTTCTAAAGCCCTGAAACTTGAAACCTCAAGTTCTGACTCTTCCTTGCCATTAACCAAGATCCAAAGACTGTATTTCTAATTACTATTCTTAAACCATGAAAGCAATCATCAAATTTTTATTGTTCTTTCTTAGTATAGGAAACAGATATCAACTTTAGCTGAATTCCCAGAGATGAAAATCACAAAGCACAGTTACCCTCCACCACAGTAACTATGGTGCGAAATGACCTTGCTGATATATAATTTCAGGTGACAATGAGGCCCATGCTTCCTAGGTTTCCATTTAAAATTGTTTCTATCGTCTTTTAAAGTGAGAAGATATATTTAAGGGAAGAAATGGAAAAGGAGCTCTGCATCAAGCTTATGGTAAGAGAATAAAGAGCACGAATATTGTCATGGATACTCATAGTAGGGAAATTTGTAGCAGCTTTGTGGGAGGAGGAAATAGGGTATTCACCGAATTTGATTACAACTTTTCATTTACAGATACTAATAAAATCCTATATGCTACAGATTGGTATGCTTGCTCTCATCATGGCCGAAATTGTTACAGAATTTCAATATCTTAGTGCTAATCAGACCCACGCTTAAGGCCAATCTCCTACAGCTGTAGAACTCAAGTTTATTGGACTCAGGTTTCTTTTTTCCTGCCAGTCTATTTCAGCTCCCAGCTTTTCAGATACCCCAAGTGCCTCAAACATGGACTCAACTCCACTTTGGCCAATAAATACATGGTTTTGAACACAAGAAAAAAGGAAACAAAAACAACAAAAAGCCAATAATAGGTCACAAAAGAGAGGAAAGGAAAGAGAGGCCATCTACTCATTTACCTTGATCATTAGGCATTTTATCAGAGGAGTCCGCTAACAGGCCAAGCACAGGGGAAGAAGAAACAAGAGCAAGGATCACAAGTTTTGAAGATGGGACAGGCAGAATTTTTTAAAGGAAAAAAAAAAAAAAATCCCATAAACTTCGAAACAAACTGAGTCTTTTTTTTTTTTTTTAAATACCAACAGAAGAGAAACTCTATATAGCTTCCATATTTCCAGAGACTCAGTCCCCGACTAAATTTTATTCCTAAGCTCTCTTGGTTCAATACTTTATCTTCACTTTCTTATCTAGAGTTTCTTTAAAGGGCCCCCTTCCTACCTACAACGTCTAAATTAAGCCTTTCAGGTTGGGAGTTTGCATGTGTTGAAAGAGAATCATTTATCACAATAATATGCTATTGCTCTGTATGGGAAAAGAGAATCAATCACACCTGATCTGACTGTAAACAGCTCTACATCACTGCCTTGAACAGACTGGAGTCAGAGTTCCCTCCTACATGATCTGGTCAGGTCAGTGACCTAGGGAGCACCGCTCTGGTGGTCAGTGGTGAGTGAGGCATTATTCTGAGGTAAATGCACACACTGTGACTCATCATAAGGACTTCTTATTATCATCCACAGTCTCTACATGCTGAAGTGATATGTGCAAGCACAGCCCCACTAAAGAGACACATTATAAAACACTGCGGGGAACCTTACCTTTAGGTGTTCTAAATTGCACAGCGTCAGACATGGGCCCCATGCCCTTTGAGTTCCGAGCCTGGATTTTGAAGTAGTACGGTGTGTCCAGTGTTAGCTCCTGTATCTGGTGAGTCAGCCTGTTGCCCACAACAGGTTCAATAACCCAATCATGTATCTCTGCATTCACATCTGTGCTGTAATATATGATGTAACCTGTCCAAAGCAGTTAATGGAAAAAGAAATCTTATTTCTGCTTTTTCTTTCGCAATCAGTAAGTCAATACAGATATATGTTAGAGCACAAACAAGAATCAGTTACAGAATGGTAAAATCCATTCAAAATGCTCCTCTAAACATAATATAGAGAAAAACCACAATTTACACAGTGCCAAGCTGTGAGTTATCATCTATATCAGCAGTTGAAATAATAAAACTAATAAAAGATAGAAAATATAAGGTTAAGTATCTTCAGGAGCTAGGAAATCATAAGGAAAACTGAATCACTTCAATATGTTAATATTTAAATAATGTACTTTGGTCTACAATTAAAATAATGCAGTTTTGAAAATCGATAACGGCCTAACATGCTGTTTTTGTCTCACCAGTGTGACCTCCTGGGATAAAAACTCCTGGGAGAAGGGCAGCAACCTTTGTTAAGTTCTCCCAGATTTGGGGCGAAAGTCACAGTGATAACTTCCACCAGAGGGCACTCAATCTCCATGGCTGAGGCAGAGAGACCCACAACCACAAGCCTACCTGGCCCATACAGTGCATTACTGGGCTTTAAAGACAAAGGACAATGCAATGCAGGCCAAGTCATGCTTGATTCTTTCATGAAAGAAGAAAATTTAAAAACCTAAAAGTGACAAAAAAGACCAGGAATTTCTGGAAAGTTTCTATTGAAAGCCGAAGCAGAATAATACAAATATATACACTTTCAGTATTTTTAGGCCACCCTATTCTTACCAAGTAACTTCGGAAGGCAAACCCCCGTTCCTCAGTGTATACCTATAAGGAACAGAGGTTCCAAGGGGAATATTTAACAACTAAATCCCTTTCCTCCTTGACAACGCTGAGGAGGACAGTGTTTATGGTGGAAGGTTCTCCTCTAGAAGTCCAAGGAAAAATTCCTGATCCCTTCAAAGTCCTAGGTCAATTCAAAGTTTTAACTCTAGTTATAAAAGAACAGGAGCTAAAGTAGCCTGCCTAGAGAGGGAAAAGGAATTAAAAGTGTAATGGGCTTTTTGGGATTTAGGGTAAAAGAGCTGAATCTCTGTTCACTGGCAATCCCCTAAAGAATTAGGCAGGGTCTTTAACTTAAAGCAGGCCATCCAGTCACAGGCAGACTCCCGCTTCTCCAAACAGAGCTTTCCTTGAGTGCTTCTGCCCAGCAGGAAGAGGGAACAGACACACATTCAAAACAACTTACCTGTAATTTTGCCATTGGCTTCAGAAGGAGGCTGCCAATTTACAATTATGGTCCTAGGTTTTCCCTCTTTACTCACAACTGTCACATCCTTGGGCGGAGAAGTAGGAACTAAAAAATAACAATACTTTTAATAATTCCTGTCCATTTCAATTCTATTCACCATTTCTTCAACCCTTCCCATTTGTAAGTTACAATCAAGGGTACAAAAAACGTAAAGCCTCCTGACTTCAAAGAACTCACAGTCTATCTACAGATAGCTCAGATAAAAAGAAGAATACGCAAAATATCAGAGAGAATACCACACTACGAAGATACAGAATTGGCATCTCAGCTGGCGTCAGGGATATATATGGTAAGTAGGTAGGGAAATAAAAAAGGCACTTTACAAATCATTTTTCACTTAATGTTTATGGCAGCTTGAGAGGTAGTTACCACTGTCCCTGCTTGACCGATAAGGACACTGAAAATAAGGAAAGTTATGTAATTTTCCTAAGATGACGTTCCTCTCCTAATTTGGATTATTTTGTTAGGATATTTTTAAATGTAAAATAATTTTTTCTCTGACCTATAGTTGGCTCTCCAAACCAAATGTTTGAAAACCCCCAATTCCTGCAAAGAACACATGATTTATAAATTGATGTTTATTATTTGGAGTTTGCAATAAAAACATACTGTCAACTATTTGAGCTTATAGCTCTGAAATGTAAAGCTGTTTATGTAACAGAAAAACCAATAAAATAAAAATGACTGCATTTCTTGTTTCCATGTTAGGGCTGAAAACTTCTAATGTACAAGTAGGGAAATAAGCAAATTAGGAACAGCCTTAAATTTTCTTTTCCTGAAGGGCTAGAATCCTCCCAGTATAAAATGGAAGAAAGCCTGGTGAAATGCAACATCCTATGGAAATACATTATGTCATTTATTAGCTAATGGGTTGGAATTAAAACAAAAAGATATTCTTAAAACTGGCAAAGAAAGCAAAATCAAGGTCTATGTAAGCTTTTGTGCACTATATTTATAGCTCTCTAAATCTAAACCCCTTTCTCTGTAGGAAGTCCTACCCACTGTTCAGAAGACAGAAAGACATTAGGGCCAAGCCTTTTGGGATACTACACCTCAACTTTGTCATTATTTATATACAGGAGAGAAAAAATAGGAGGCTGGAATAGACAGAGACAATGGTTACACATGTCTCCACGCTGGGAAAGTACAAGAAGTAGAAAGGTAGGCCTACAAGTGAGCAGAAAGCAAACAAAATCTCAAACCTGGACGGCCTGCTTTCCCCTTAATTTGCTTAACTGTCTTTTTTCTTTCATGTTTACTTACAGACAAAATCCCTAAGGATACTCCAGTGGGAGATTTTACAAGACACTAATTGGTTTGCAAGAGAGCTATTGGTAAAGTGCTAGGCTCCAGCAAGCACAGCATTGCAGCTGCTTGGTGAAGGGCAGGCCGCTTCATCTTTTCTTTCTCAAGTCTCCCAGTAAAGCAGGACTAATGACAACGACCCCTCCCATCTGCACAATGCTTTCTAACTGAGCCTGTGCTTTCCCATCTGCTCCTTTCACCCTAACAATAACCCTATAAAGTAGGAAGGGCAGAGGTTATCACTCCTCTTTTATAGGTGGAAGAAATAGAGATTCAGAGAGGCTGAATGACTTATGATCACACTCAGTAGATGGCTGACCTGGGATTGAACTCAAATCTCTTGATTCCTAAAATCTAGTATACTTTATATTATCCTGTTATTTGCTAATGTTCTTGTGCAATGATTAAAAAAACATAATTCACCAGCTGAAAAAGCAAACACTGAATTCCAGCTGTAGTTGCTCACTGCATTCGGTAAATACATTAACTAATGCACTCAATTTTTTCCTTGATTAGTAAAAGCAGGTGATGTTAACTCTCATGACTTGGAATGTGGCACATTAGCAGGGACTTCCACTGACTTGTATCTTGCAGAGAAGAAATGCCACATGACCTAAGGTTCTGACAACACATACCTAATTCAAAGGTGGTCCCATGGGCTGTCATACTCCATGTGCTTGATCTTCGACCTTTGGTCACCATCACAGAGAATTCATAGAGTGTATTTGCTTTTAAACCAGTCACCAAATAACTCAAAGTAGTTGCATTTGCATTCTGGAAACACAAGATTCAAGAATTTTAGATTTAGAAAATATCAGTAATTAGCTTTTCTCACCCAGAGCACATGTGCCAGTACCTTGTACTTGGTGTTTGCTGGGATGTTGGTTTTCCATCGGACTGTGTAGTACCTCGAGTCTGTAATCTTCTGGTGTTTGGGCAGTGAATTGTCTGCCCACGTAATCCTTATGGTGTCATGACTCAGAATGGAAGCCTGGACTCCCACTGGCGGCATCATGGGAGTGGGATCTGGCACTGGAGTGTATGGAGCATTAATAACAAATAAATCAACCTCAGAAGTGTCTGGGTAAAAAGTAATTAAAAAGGGAAGTGGATGGGGAGATAAAGGGACATTTGTAATATTTAAAAAAAAAAAGGGAAGTGGAATTTTAACGTAAACCAAAAAAAAGGGAAATGCAGGGTAATATAATGGAATGAAAGGTGAGAAATGAGAAAGAGAAAGAGAATCCAGAGTTAATAGATAACCACCATTCATTTAAAAGAGTATTTCCACTTGTGTTCTTTCAGAAAAACATCTAGAGAAACGCTAATTATATAGTCTCTGCTGTATTCTGCAGGTGTATTAAATTTTGATAATCCAGTGATTATATTAACACATTCATACTTGAATTTTCTTTAAATTACCTGAAAATTCTACTTCCTGTCCAAACAAAATTATGAAAAAATAAAAGTTGCTTTTAAAATTAAGGGTCTAATTTCTAAGCAAGCAACACAAAGCTCATGATATCACAAAGCTCACAATATCATGTTTTGATATTCCAGTGAGTTTTTGGGACACGGCTTATCAATGCATATCACCGGACATATAAGGGTACTACTCTCAAAGCTTCATCTTGAATGTTAGCCAATGGCAACCCAGCCTGGCCTGGGTATTCAGGGTATTTGATACCCACACAAGGTTCAGTTCAGATCTGATGTCCTGCTACACTTTGTCCAGTAAAGTCATTGATGAATCTCAGTAAGTTATGGGAAATGCCATAGTTATGGGTCCAAGTGACACAGTCTTTCTGAACTTTAAAAATCAGAGTATTTATCTGATACAAAGGAAAGTCTATACTCATGTGCTGTCCTGTGCCACAGGCAACAGACATGTTCTCATTAAAAGAGGCCAGAACAAGCACAAAGGCACTGAGGACCATGAGCCATGGCAATACAGCAGGACCCACTTGGGCTTGCCCAACTCTTCCCGTCAGGTTTTCTAAGCATACACACGCTGATTTATTTTAACGTAAGGTTTTAAAATTGGTTTTCCACGCGGTTATCATGATTAGCCCTTGCTATAATTCAAAATCTGAAAAGGCCAGGGCCTTCTTTATGAATAATTGCCAAGCTAAAGTAATAGTCTCCATTTGTGTATTTCCTGCACAATGAGGACTAAAAATAACAGAGAACAGCATGCATCATAAACAAGGGCTCTGTCCAAAGATTAGGACACATACCACTTAGTTACAGAAAACGTATTCACGGTATAAAAATCATCAGACTTTGAGAAAATTTTTTATTCGTAATGACTCCTGGAAAAAAAATAGCTAAGTCGCCTGAGTCAGGAACATTTACTTGTGTATTTCTAGCCAGAAGACTGTATTTTTAAGCCACATAAAAGAATTTCAAATTTGCTTTTTTTCCCTATTGCAGGCTGTTAAGAAAGTAGAAAACTACTTATTTAATATTCTTTTTTTTATCTTGCCTTTTTCCCTTTATGAAATGCCAAAGCTATTTTTAAAAGAAGTTACAAATTGTAAGCACATAGGAGCAGAAGACAGGACAGAACGACCAAATATGTAGTCATGATGTCGGTCTTTTAAGTAAAAGCACAAAAAAAGGAGGAGATTATCTTTTTAAAAAGAATAATGCAAATCTGTAATATTATATAAAGTATCCAGAAGACATAGCAGGAAATACAGATTCACAATTCTGGGAAACAAATGAAAAAGAGCAATTCTGAAAATGAACAAATTCTTTGATTTTTCAGTACCCATTAGAACAATTTACAACTCTAACATATTACTTTGATAAACTGTCTCATTCACATCTAAATTAGGTGCTTTATACAGCTATAGAAATTTTACATTATGTGTATAATCCTTTAAAGATATTTTAAATAAATTACAAAGAAAAGAATATTTGGTCCTTTTAGTAATATACATATAGTTGAGCAAGTGGATAGTATATCTGACTTTATACTCTTTATATAAAGCTTATGAAAAGCACATACAAAAATACTTTCCCAACCAACTCAGGTGACTAGTGAAGAAAATTTTGGATTTATCAATCATATACATTTATTGCTATCATCAGTAACCTATATAATCCCTCCAGAGATATGGAGATCTTTTCATTTTTTGACTCACTTTAGTTATAACCCACAAAAACCAAAAGATGAAGAATCACTTTTAATTCTCTCACAACTATGCTTTCTAGATCCCAGCACATTAAAAAAATGTGTTACATATTTACATAGAATTGTTTACATGACAGGATTGTTAATAGTTTCTAAAAAGTAAAACAGGAATTAACAGAACATTGCATACTGAAAGCCCATATTCCTATTTGAAGCCTGTGCCCTAAGCTGCCATATACTTTTCCTCCCACTGATATCTAGGTGGCAGGCTTCATGCCAACATTCTACTTAAGCTGATGGAAAAAAAGCTGAAGACCAGAGATGGACAGTATACCTTACCTGTGTGAGGTCTGGTCACAGCACTCTCATACAGGGGGATGCCTTCACCCACATTGTTGAATGCTTTTAAGGTAATCACATAGTGAGAGCTGGGATCTGAAGGAAATAAGTCAAAATACTTAAAAAAAATTCTCACTACAGAGTTTAAAAAATTCATGGGTGACTGTGCATGATCTTAACTGCAGAGGAAATCAGGAGGGAAGATTTAAAAATATTTTATGTGAGAATATTTTGTGGTGTGGGAAATGTGCGATGACCATGTACACAGTACAGCAGGCCCCAGAGGGGATACATTCCAAGAGCCCCAGTGGATGCCTGAAATCAAAGATAGTACCAAACCCTACATGTACTATGTTTTTTCCTATGCATACATACCTATGATAAAGTTTAATTTATAAATTAGGCACAGTAAGAGATAACAATAACCGATAAAGTAGAACAACTATAACGTACTGTAATAAGTGCTATGTAAATGGGGTCTGTCTCTGATAACCAAACTGACGACTGAGACGGCTAAGTGACTAATGAGCAGGCAGCATATTGTGTGGATAGGTCCCTCGAGGGAGAGATTTCATCACACCAGTCAAAAGGGTGTGCAATTTAATACTATAAATTGTTTATTTCTGAAATTCTTGACTTAATATTTTCAGGCCTTGGTTACTGTGGGTAACTGAAACCAAGAAACAGTGAATAAGGGGAGACTATTGTGTAGAAAAACTGTCTGGGATCAACTTCCTGGAGTTAGTACTAGGAGTATGGCTGTGCTTGAATTCTCTCTTGGCCTCAACTAATTGATGGTTTAGTGATGTTATTGTATAGTGTGGGGCTTGCATTAGAATGAGTAAATAGAATTTTCACCTGTTGAAAGCCCACAGATAAAGTTTGAAATTAAACAAACCCCTTTCCTTCTCAGAAGCACAAGGACAATGACTGGAACAGCCAAGGTAGAGAAGTAGGAGATAACTGTTAACTCAGTAATTGCTGAATGTCCTTAACTCTTGGGGGGGGGGGGGCACTCCAAACCTCATCTAGCCCTCATGCAGACTTCTTGGTAGAATAAGATATGGCCCCGAATTACAACTGGCTTGGAAGTGATGGGTATTTCAAAAGTCCAGAGTCCAAAATGAAAACTTGGGCCCCACTGGTGCTGCAGAGTGGTGAGCTGACCCATACCGCTCACTTCTGGCAGTCGGACAGTTTCCCAAAGTGGTCACAGTTCAAATGGTCTGCATTACTTCAAAAGCTTAAAATAGCTACTTTGCTTGGTGGCCCGCTCTTGAGAGTCATACAAACGGGAACCTGGTCTTCCAGTGGCAGAAAGAATTGACAACAAATGGAATCAACAAGACTTAGTCCTTGACTGGTGAGGAAAAAGGAAAAGGTGATGGATAGTTTGGGTAACATGATAGATGGTGAAAGTCCTTTACTGAGATTGGGGATAGAGGCAGAGCAACCATGATACACATTTTCAAGCCCCCATTCTATTCCCACTCTTCTCTCTCTCTCTATGTGCTTTTAGTCATTTCCTTAGCTTGGGTTATCATGTATGTGCCATCAAATGCAATACCTATTTCTAGTCCAGACCTTCTGATCACCAAACCTCCAGATTAAACTGTCTGGCATCTCTACTTAGATGTCTCAAATCTCTTTCTTCTGCCACTTCAGATCTGCCCCAGTGTCCCCTAGCTCATAAATAGCACTTCTATGCTCCCTGCTGCTCAAGTCAGAAACCTGGGAGTTATTAAGACCTCTCTTCTCCCTCCTCCACTGTTATGCAAATGATCAAGTCTTGTTGATTATACACACTTGCCTCTCACCACTCTGCCTTGATCTGCATGCTCCATCTCTCAGTTCAGTGAGCACTGTGTGCCTCCTAATACTGGGCCTTCACTTGTGCAGCTGTTCCCTAGGTTGGGGACAGGCCACCCTTCTTCTTTACCTAGACAATGCCTATTCATTTTTTTATTATTTTATTTTATTTTTAAATATATTTTTATTTATTTCAGAGAGAGGAAGGAAGAGGGAGAAGGGGAGAGAGAGATGGAAACATCAATGATGAGTCACTGATCGGCTGCCTCCTGCATGCCCCCTGCTGGAGATCGAGCCCGAAACCCGAGCATATGTCCTGACTGGGAATTGAACCGAGATCTCCTAGATCCTAGATCTATGCTCAACCGCTGAGCCACGCCCAGCTAGGCTGCCTATTCATTTTCAAGGGCTCATCCCTTTAAAACTGGATTAGCCTCTCTAGTTACACCCCATTTCTCTTCCTCAGCACTCTAAACAATTTCAATTATTTCAAAATTTTATGATTTCTAATATTTGGGATCATGTTTAGTTGATTTTCTGCGCAGTCTTTAGCAACATGGGATCCTGGACAATGTTTTCTTTTATAATAAAGGACGTTTATGAGACAGCCAGTAAAATATGCATAAAGTCTATAGATACTGTGTCAGTGTTAATTTTCTTATTTCGGTAATTGTACTGTGGCTATGTTAGAAAATGTCTTTGTTTTCAGGAAATGCACATTAAAGTACTAGTGGGTAGAGAGGTATCATATCTGCACTTAATCTCAAATGGTTCAGAGGGAAAAAAAGTACATATAGGAAGACAGAGAATGATAAAGCACATGTGGTAAAATGCTAACCTTTGGGGAATCTGAGTGAATGATTAACAGAAATCCTTTGTTCTATTTTTCAGTTTTCTATAAAAACAAAATTATCACACAATAAAAAGGTAAAAAGAAAGCAATCACATGTGCAATTACTTCCTTTACTTAGCATACACACCCAGATTTTCGATGGTGTAATAGCGCTGTTTATAGTCCACTTTGATGGTCTGTGCATGTGGGCTGCCAATGCCATAACCAATGGCATAACCTCTGACCACAATGTTCTGGTTCTCTGGAGGAGTCCAGCTTACTACGATGCTGGTGACAAGTGGGCGGACATGAAGAGAACTAGGTACTTCAGGAACACGAGTTTCTGCGGAGGAAATTGTAAGAGCAAGATGAGATCCATCTTCCTTTGGAATATTTCACCACCCTTGGGGAATGGTGTTCAATCTCATGCCAAATTATTTGGAGCTAAGTTTTTTCCATTATGCCCAAGAATTCAAAGAGAATACATATATATAGTAAAGTATGGGCCACGGTTTTACTGCATTCTAAGAAGGAAAACAAAACCCAAACAGCTTGAAATACTAAACACTGCAATATTAATTTGGAAGGGAAGACAAAGCGATCCAAGAACCTCTGTCCAATAGAGAAAAACAAATAAATTGACTTTCAATAGTTACCCATTCTTCTCGTTCCCACAGCTGATTCCCAAACTTACCAGGCAGAAATGCCAACTAATTAGAAGCCTGTTCTCAACTGGTAATCAAGTATCACATTACAGCAATAGTATTAATTATGTACTCCCCTAAGTAATATGGTAAGTCAGAATATATGAAGCTTTAGAGCCACAAATTGATTTAAATGGTGGGAGACCAAGAGGCTTAAAAGATGGCAATTTACAGTATCTTTCAAGGCATAAATTGCTATCTTAATTTAAAAATTAGTAAACCAAGAATTAGAATAGGACCCAGGGCCTTTTGTTTCCCAAGTACAGCACCTGTCTCTGATAAAGGTGCACACCCCCCCCCATATGGACTGAATAAACAAGTGAGAAAAAGGGCAAGGTGCCTAGGACGAAGGGAAGGGAAACTAATGAAATACAGACAAGACTCATGTGGCTCAGCTTCAACTTAGATCATCTATACACTTCATGGCCTTGGTGAAAAACAGACATAAGGTGCCTGTGCCTTTTCATTGGTTCTGGTTCTGCTTAAAGAGACAGTTCTCTAAAAGCCACTGGGGGGGGGGGAAGGGAGGAAACGGGGACCAGGAAACTTGCTGCGTTACAGGAATGACAGTAGTATAATACATTAAAGTTCACAGATTAAAGCAATGTACACCCCAAATCTATGGCTTTCCAGTTAAACTCACTTGACTACAGTTAGTACCTTGCTTGTGCCAATCCTGCCAATTGTTCTTACCATCTAAGTCACTTTCAAAAGTTTCAGTAGACAGCCAGTCAGTAGCCGGGCCTGTGCCATTTACTGTTAGAGCAGCCACTCGAAAATTATATTCAGTCCCCCGATCCAGACCTGAGACCCAAATGACAAAAAAGACAAGTTGAAACAACAGCTTTAGAAAAACAAAAGATTAACAATCTCATTAAAGCAAGTATCTCATCCACCAACTCAGTATATAGCTACTACTTTGATAAAATTTTAGTTACAGTTAATACAAAGCAAGCAATACATAAATACAGCACAAAGGAGCTCCCACCTCTAAAGCAGAGGCTGAAGCCCACATAATATAAGAAAACAGAAATAAGTAAAGCTCCCAGGAGATAACAGATTTTTTAAAAAGAGCTTGAAGGCATTTTAGAGATCATTTAATGCAGTCCCTTCATTTTGTTACTAAGGAAGCTAAGGCCAAAAAGAAGCCAAGGATAATGGAAGTTATAACAAATGAACAAAATCAGCTGGTCTCAGAAGATCAGAAAAGAATGCAAGATGTAACTCCTACCATATTACCTCTGTTCTCTAAGTCACGCCACAACCACAGAGAAAAAACTTTAAACACCAAACACGGCCTACCTGCCCATAAGTATACATAATATATAAAAAAGGGATAAAGCCTTTCTATTATACAACCTTTTATATTTACTATCAGCTAATGAAGTACATTATTTACCAATGTATCAAAGGCAACAAAGATTCAAAAAGTAAAAGTCTACCCTACAAAGTAGAGCAAGAGTCAATAATATGGTCAGCTATTCATATATTTGTGAATCCATTTTTTCTTTATTTTTTTTTATTGTGTTAAAATATACATACAATTTACCATTTTAAACATTTTTAAGCGTACAGTTCACATGCATGCATTTTTAGAGCACTTAAACACTAGACATTGTGGTAGGTCTTATTAGGGTTATGAAAAACTATCCTACCTCCACATATCCAAATATTGAGATCTTTGGTCGGCAACACAGTACAGGAATTCGAGACAGAGAGCTACTGAAAGAGAACTTGGCCAGGATGAGCCCTGGCTTACTTAATCAATCCTGTCACATGGTGTAAGAGGAGAGATGGGAGGTTCTGTTCTCTTCAGACCATCCTGAATGTTTGCCCACAAGAAAGCAAGAAGCAAGACAGAAGGACAAGCAAAATGGCTGGGCCCAAGTCACTTTACCTCCCTGTCTCCTCCCTGCAAACATGAACCAGAAAGAGCCAGAGTACCTGTACATGTATTTACAACTGTTAACAGGGAACAATCAGGACTACTAGCAAACATGGCTCAACAGAGGTTCTGAAAGAATTTAACCAGATTATCATGCCCTTCCCTTTGGGGAGAGTTAGAACGTAAGAAAGCAAGTGAGCAAGTGAGAGAGCGCACGTGAGCATGTGCAAGAGACCCAAATGTAAAGAGGTTAAGAGCTCCTCTTCCCCAAAGTAACCGACGGAGTTCACAGACCAAAACTAAGGAACACAAATCATATTATAAAGATATGGCAGAAAATGTTAAGTGGTACAAGTGGTACAAAAGGAAGAAACGACAATTACTGCTGGCTAAAACTTAACCATATGGTTACTGTTCAGTACAGGATCCTGGTAATCCGTATTATTCTCTAATGCTTATCAAGCTTCAAGCCAATGCTTTGAGAGAGCAAAGATCTCCAATTTGCTCACTATTTACACCCAGTGCTAGCCCATGCCAATAAAAATCCAATAAAAATTCAATAAAGTCTGTTAAACAAATGAATCAATCTAAATATGATTTTAAAATGCAAGAATTTTCTTGATAAAGAAAAATCTATTTTTACCATGAAAATGGTATTTTCCTTATATATCAAATGTTTCATTGAAAAAATGAATAGCCTTCTCATGGGCAAGGACTGTCTTCTATTTTTATGTTGTTAGCAACAAGAACAATACCTGGTATACTGTAAATATCTGCTGTTAAATATTCAAAATAAAAGCCTTACAGGTGGGAAATGTTACTTAACTGTATTTGAAGTAAAACCAGAAATTGGTTTTTAAGAACATCTGTGAGCAATTTTACTGTAATGCTTCTTTAATGAGGTTTCTCAGCAGCACTCACAGCAGCAATGTTTACTCTACAGAAAGAAGACTGGCCCTGTGGAGACAAGTCACCTTCTCCTGTTTTGAAAGGAGTCAGTCCCATCTATGAGATAAGGGGTAAGGAGAAAATCTTCCTAGATTACTATAGTACACTGTTTCACTGTCATTGGCTGTCTCAATATTTAGAAACTCATAAAGAAGGGAAGACTCATTACATTTTTGACCCCAGATCTCGGTTCTGTCAAGAACCCGGCCCCTGGGGCATAGGCAAGTGGTTGATGTCAAGCTCCTCTTAGCCTTTCAATGTCTACCCAGGAGGGAAGCAATGTATGGAACGCTTAGAGTTCCCCAAGGGTGATAAATTAATTCTCAGGGCTTGGATAACAATGACAATACCTCCAATTTTTATAGTTTTTGTCTACCAGCTCTGCTAGAAACCCCAAAAGGGTTTCTTAAGGGCATCTGTCTCTTTTCTTTGTAGGCACAGACCCAAATATCCGAAGAACAAAAAGAACTTCATCTCCCTCCCATGGTTCTCCTGCAAAGCCAACCTGCCCTTGCTAAGCCAAATCAATTTCTTCTACTGAGGAAAGAAGGGGGTGTTTCTGTGTCATCTGTAGGGGAAATCCATACTAGAGATGCATTCAGCTATGCCACCTGCTCTGATGCACATAAAGGAAAAACCACAGAAGAGAAGCTATCCCTCACAGAATTTTCTAAAACTTTATTGTGTCCCTAGTAGCAAGAATGACTATTGCACTGCTATAGCTATTCACAAATACTGTTTCAGGACACATACACACGAGTGGTGTCAGCGTTATAAAAACCATTTTGTACACTCTGCTAACAACTAGAATGAGCAAGTTCTTTGTATATAGCTTGCTTTAACTTTTATTTCAGATTACAAAAAAGCAATATATCTATCTATATAGATATATAAACAAAGAATACAGAAAAACACAAGGAAATAAAACTCAATCTCATCATTCAGATATGGCAGAACTTGTAAGAGTGTTTTCCATTAATTTTCATCAAAGTTTTACAAATTCTTTTGAGCCATTTTTACTTTGTGCAAGTCAACAGCTCCAAGCGGTAATTAGACTAGCATAGTTCGGTGTCTGAGACAGATACCATCACCCAGCTTTGCCTATGTGCAGAGCAGCTCACCTTCAATCAGCTGAGAGAGCTGTGTCCCAGGCACCAAGGTCTCAGTGACATCACTCTTTCGGGAGGCCTTTCGGTAGCGAATCTTGTAGCCAGTAATCTGCCCATTTTGTGTGGCTGGAGGAGGTGGCTGCCAGTGAATCATAATACTCTGGAAAGAATAAGTTTATAGGGGAAAGACGAAAATATGTCAAAAGCTTAGTCCTGTTTTATGTACTATTACCCTGAATTCTGTGTAAAGAGAAGGAACATAAAGGCAGTAAGGTGATTAGTTTTATTAAGTTATTTAATATAAATCACTCAAAACTACTTTTTAATTTTAAACCCCCAATGGTCAAAGTGAGAGGTTATATTTGTGGGCAGTATACACTGGGCCCTTGATCTCCTGGATGTTTTGCCAGAATGAAGACACTGGGCAAAAGTTTCAAAAAAGTTTTCAGACGAAAACTAAGGTCATAGGCACATGAATTAGAAAGTAAACTATTGTTAGGTGTAAGGTTCTCTTCCTATCTCAATTGTGGAATAGCTGAACTTAGGTGATTTCTGTCTAAACCTCTTCTAAAGGGGGATCAATAATTAACAGCTGGTTGTTTTTTTAAGGAAAAGAAGTCCAACAGTACTTTCTGAAAGGACTGAACAACTCAGTTTATGTAGCCCAGAAGGGGCTCTGGACCTTTCGAGAGGTGTACATGCCTTAAGTGTATAGTGAGCATGACTAGGAGGGATGGTTTTAGCATCTGTAACCATCAGGCATATTCACACTGGGCTCATCTCACAGGATGAAGGGACTATGGTATCATAAACAACTTCCTTCCTTATACCTAATCACCAAGGTTCTGGACGTTAAGATCAAGAAAGTAATGATTTACATAATACCAATAAATTTGCAGAAAGGTCGAAGTAATTTTGGCATCAGAGAAAGGCAGTAAAGTTAAACAGAATAAACTGAAGTTGGTTTCTAAGCCCAGCTTTACTTGCAAGTGCAATAGCTAGGTCACCTTATTTCCTGATAATGATTGTTTTGATAAAGAATCTCCCTCTCTATAAGCCCTTCTGAGTCTTAATAATATACCAGTAAAAATGAGCAACGGTAATAAAGTTTTACCTTTGAATTTCTTACTTCTAAGGACAGATTCTGAGGAGCAGCACTGGGAACTGGACAGACAAAAAAATAAATAAAATTTTTTCAGTCACCATCATTTGACTCTTCTTGGCAGGACTTCAAACAATTGCACATCTCAAATGCTGACTATGCAACCTGAAGGTCTAAATGCAGCTGTCAGTGCCCTCGTGTTGACAGTAGTGTGTGGGTAAGGTGTGGTCATGTTTGATTCATTTAAAAAAATGAAACACCTTCATATATATGCACCCATACCCAAGTCAGGTTGTACCTTTGGGAAGTCAGATAATTATTTCAAGGATGTGACTGACTTTTGTAGACCCCAGATACATTCTGAACCTTCAACATATTATTTTGACCATTCCTGGTGATAAGATAGCCTTATCACCAAGAGCCACAAATTTTTCTGGAAACAAGTCTAATGAATATGGCAAGTGAATGAAGTGGGCAATGTCACTGTAAGTCCAAAATGGGATGGACATAAATCGGTGAGCTTGTCTTTCTAGTGGAGCTCCAAAACTGGTTTGGAAGGCAGTTCCCAAGTAAAGCAAAGAGTTATTTAGGCAATGACAGCTTCAGTGAAGTGACCATCTGGCTTCCCAAGAGGCCTGTGTAGCAGGAAACACTCATTTAGATGTGAGAAGTTTGGGCCTGTTGCTTAAGTAGACAGTAGCATAACTTCAGTTTCTCACATATTAGAAAATAAGACAGGGGTATCTCCAAGTCTATGGTCCACACACCCTCCAGCATTCCTTTGTAGTAACTAAAGCAAGCACAGAGAATTCAAGTAATCCTATTGGGTTTCTTCTCTGCTCACAGATGCTGACTTTAGCTCTTCTCTCCTAGTCCGTCTATGGGATCTTCTCTTGCCCTTTCTCTGACATTTGGTGACCAGGTATACAACTAAGTGCCTACTGTGCTATAGGCTTCTAAGGACAGAGACTATTTCTTGCTCAATGTTGTATCTTGTACAAAGTACATCAGGCCTCAACCCTCAAAGGGTGTGGAGTAGGACTTAGGCACCAGTGCTTTGAAAGAAGTCCATGAATGGTTCTAATGATCTTCCTGTTAAGAACCTCTGACTTACTTGCAGAGGCACTCAACATAGTTGCTGCTGTCTTCGTCATCATCACAGCTAAGAGTTCTCTGTGCTCTTGCATGGCAGGGACTTAATCCTTATAACAATTCCACACAGGGGTTTCCATTATTATTCCCACTTTATAGATGAGGTTCAAATCTCTTGTCCACAGTAATTATTTCAGATAGCACAGGAACCAAAATGTATCTACTCCCAAGTGCTGCCCTTAACCACCATGCGCAGACACATTCAGTTCCCTGATGGGCACTGTAATCGACATGCCAACTCACTTACCGCACTTAAAATTAGCTCGTGTAGATTTTAAAGCCCCCTCAACTTTTCCCCAAAGTCTTGAGCAATTGGTTTATATAGTTGGCTAACCAAACTACAGTTTGTATTTATTTTTACCAATTTATCTTGAAAAATGTTAAGCACAGAGAACACAATAAAAATTCAAGAATAATACAATGAACACCATATATGAGGGTGTCCCAAAAAAATGTATACACACTTTAACAGCTGATAGTTCAATTGATGTTTCTTTCTTCTCAGGTCTAATCCATTGGAATTAATAATGGGTTAAAAGTGTGTATAAATTTTTGGGGACACCCTGTATTCTTTTCCTGAATTCACCAATTATTAATGTTCTGCCACATCTGCTCTAATTTTCACTATATTTACAACACATATTTATCTACCTACAGATGGTTTCCAAGTCATCTGAGAGACAGCTGCAGTCACCATGATACTTCGCTACTAAATACTACAGTATGTATCTCCTAAGTTCAAAGATATTCTCCAACATAACTATAATACAATGATCACTTTCAGAAAATTTAATCTTAACACAAAATATTATCTAATATACCTAATAACACATCTAATATTTAATATTGCCTAATATACCTATTTAACATCAAGTAAATGTATCAATAGTGTCCTTTATTTACTTATTTTTACTGCTAGATCCAGGAGCCAGTAAAAGATCATATCTGTTTTATATTATTTCATGTGTTTTCTTTAATCTAGATTCTAGAATGAGTCCCTAACCTTTTTTCTTTCATGAGACTAATTCTTTAAGAATACAGGCAAGTTCATTTTATTTTTTGCAGAATTCCCCACAATTTGGATATGTCTAATTGTTTCATCATGATCAGATTCAAGTTAAATATTTTTCACAGGGATACAATATAGGGGAAATAGGCATTGTGTCTTTCTCAATGTCTCATATCAGGACATACATGATGTCAGTCAGCTCTGTTGTTGCTGACGTTATGTTTGACATTTGCTTAAAGGAGTCAAACTATAGCTTTTAAAGCATGCATGTGTATATATAAGGGGTATATACATATACATGCATTTTTTAGAAAAATAATTTTGTAACACATTGGAGTTAGGTGAGTTTCAGGAAATAATATATACAATTACTAAGTACAATACATGCTGTTATTTTCTGTTCTATTGTAAAAGTATGTATTTTTAAATACTGGTTCTTGACCTACTCAATCTCTTTAGCAAGCTGTAGTTTGAAAAATACTGCTCTAGGTAATGGGTATATGCACATATATAACTTACCTTGGAAATTCAGCTACAGGTGAGAAATGAAACTGTCCTAAACATTGAGGAATTATAAAGACCTACTTGGCATGCCAATGTGATTGCTAAGTAGAGCAAGGCTAGCGTCACAGCCCTTGCATAGTCTGTGTTATGAACAAGCAACAATATTTACTTATACAAAAGCCCCTACTAAGAATAAACACACCGAGAAGCTATTTGGTACTAGGCACTACCATGTTCTATGATCTCTCACTATATCTTTCAGCAACCCAATGAAGTTGGTATTCTTTACATTTTACATTAAGGAAACAGACTCACACATGTTAAGTGATTTGACCAAAGTCACACTATGAAAAACAAGTACTGGGATTTGAACAGGATCTTCTTGACATCAAAGCCCATGACCTTACTACTATGCCCCCAGTGCCCCCAAGCAGAGTATTTTGTTCCAAAGGAAGAAAGACTGACCATCTGATGATGTTTGAACAGCAACATCTTGTGTGGAGACTCCAGGACCATGTTTATTGTAGGCCACCACTCGGAAACTATACTCTGTGTATTTTTTCAACCCATTAATGGTATGGGAATGACTTGAAACATCAACATCCTTGAGTAAAATAAAAACAATTTACATTTATACAACTCACACCAAAAGAAATGTTACAAAAAAGAATGAACTATACAAATTCTATATTTGACACAATACTGATTTTTATCCTTTATACAGAATGTTATTTGTCAAAGAGGATTAATCATAAACACTGCCAATTTACTGAGAAATATTGTTTGGTGTCTAGTTATCCTTGCTGGTACAATCTATAGAATAAACCTGGGCACAAAGAAATACAATCTGTCAACTTTTCATTTCCTATACCTCTTTTTTATCTCATATTTCTAGACTAACAAGTATTGAAGTTTTGAAAATACAGTTGAACTCTATTATTCCAATCAATGGATTGAAAAACTGGCTTCATAACATCACCATGTATGGTGTCAGATGGGTACCAGACTTAGCAGGGTTACCACTTTGTAAGGTATATAAATGTCTAATCACGATGTTGTACACTTGAAACTAGTAATGTCAAGTGTAATTGAAAAATAAATTTAAAAAAAAGAAAAATGGCTTTATATTATACCTGTTCTTTGTCAGTCCCTTTTTCCATGTAGTACAATTTGTAATTCTGAATTTCCCCATTGCCAGACAATGGTGTTTCCCAGGTGACAGTGATGGAAGTAGGGGAAGTGGCATATGCGCGGATGTTAGGTGCTGGGCCAGGGAGCTGAACTAGAAAAAAAATTTCAAGAGAGCAAGATATAAGTGAAATTTCCTGTACTCCTCAATAACCATTCTCAGTAATCATGTCATAATGGCCATTTTTTAAAAACAATAAACTAAGAAAACAATTGACTTAACTGAAGTGGTTTTAGGATACTATATAATTAAACAAATTTCTCTTTTGATGATTTAAATTAAGACCAAATTTTATCTGTAAAGAATCTCAAATTTATTAAAAGAAAAAAAAAGACCACCACAGAATTCTTCTTTTAGCTTATAAACGCTGTTTGGCAGTGGGATAGCAGCACATATAAAGTTACCATCACAAAAAGAGAGCCTCCTTTTACCAAGTAGTGGGGATGCAGTCATGGACAGTCCCTGTCCACAAAGAACTCACAGTCTAGAGGGAAGTCAGCTATACAAATAGTTACAAATGTCATAACTACCAACAGTTAAGTAGCAAATGTAACAAAAATAGAAAGAGAGAACACCCTCTGCTTTGGGAGGGTGGGGGTAAGAAAGGGAAAGACTGGTGACAACTTCTGCGGAGCAAGAAAAATGAATAGTTTTCTCAGATACCAAGGGGAAAATTATTCCAGTAAATGGGGACCAACATGTGAGAAAACAGTGTTATGTGGTTCAGGCTGAAACAGAGAGTAGATGTGGGAGAGAGAATGCTGCTGAAGAGGATGACAAGAGCTGGATAATGCCCTGCCATGGACTTTGGATTATTTCTTGTAGGTGTTAGATAATTACTGAAAAATTATGCGCAGGATCATGACATGACAGGATCTGATATATGTTTTGAAAGAATATAGAAGCACATGCATGGAAGAAAAGTGGTAAGAAAACAAAACTGACTGCTTGCAGTCAGTTCAGCAACTGAGTGCTTTACACGTATTTAAATCATATCTATCTAATCTTTGTGCTAACCCAAGTGAGATGGGTATTATTATCCCTATTCACAGATGAGGCTGAGAAGTTAACCATTCCCAAGTGATGGGAAGTAACTGAGTGTTAGAGCCATGAATTGAGCACTTTCTGATTCTAAAACATGGACTCAAGAAGATCAGTTAGGAGATTATTATAACCCCCTCCTTAGGAAGTATGTGACTGGGAGACTCAGTAATTGGTTGACTGATTGACTGTCCAGCTTAAACTCCTACAACGTCTCACATACATTTTTACAATATTCTTTTTGTCTTACTGACAGGTTCCAGCCTTAGTTTCTATACAAATCCTGGGTGGCTGCAAATGCCTACTCTTTGCTTGACACTGTATTTGAAAACAATTTCTCTGGTGCTAGTGTTTCTGTAACAGACACCCATCAGATATAAGGAAAGGGAAAAAAACTGAAAAAGTGTAAAACTAACTGGCTTTCTTAAATAACAGCACCACAGTTTAAGATTAGTTTTGCTATCAAAGTAGAGAAACCTGAATACGGTTATTCTGACAGTTGTTTACTTTTTTAGTCATGAGTCATGCTTTTCCACTTAATATTAAGAGCATATTTTGTGCAGCCTGACAGGTGGGATTTGTAACACTCCCGCTGACATGGAAAATTTTCCTCTAACTTATTAAAGGGGAAGGAAAACAATAGTCCCCAAATTCCCATGAAAGAATTTTCAATACATTAATTGGCTAACCTAAACATAGGCAAATATGATCCCCAAAAAAGGTGCTAATAAATTCTTTCATTTCAGCTGTACAGCGACATAGTAAATGGAAAAAAATTAAGTTGGTTTGTGAAGCTAAATATGTAAAATATTTTCCAAGGGCTAATCCAGCACTGATGAGCCACATAGGCTGAGTACCTCCAGGTGAAATGCAAATCGCTCTCCACTAAAGCCTTCTCTTTAGCCAAAGCATGTTACAGTCACTTTCCATCCCTAAAACACCCTCACCAGAATCTACCGTCTCTCCCATCTGTAGTCATTTAAAGGACTTTCTTTTAATCAAACTCCTTGATCAAATGACTGTAATGACAGCATATCACACTTCTGCCAGTTTGCTTGTCTGTCTCTGGTACCAGACTGTAAGCTTCTTGTGGACAGAAGTCAAATCGATCTTCACATCTTGACCCATATTCGTATCAGTGACTGGCACATGGTAGGCACTGAATAAATCTACTGTCGCTAACACCTTTTCTTTCATCTCTAAACTGACAATGACCCTTTTAGTCCAATGGTTCTCAACAGTTTGACTCGTAAGTTCTGAAATGATAATAAAAGCCACAGGCTCTTTCCCAAGGAAAATGTGACAGTGTACAGACACACAAATATTTTTATGTATTTTCAGAAGGTTCACAGCTCCAGGGTGGAACTCTTACACTGAATCTGATCCAGTGGTCTTTTCCTTTATTTTCATCATGACTCACCTTGCACGTGTAGTTTGATCCTATTTTGGGAATTTGGGTCATGCAGTTTTCTTCCCCAAGAATGCTTGCTCTAAGTCCAATGCTTCAAGGCCAACACTCATTTTTTCCTAGGAACCTGCCTTGATATACCTAACTTTACAGTAACTGTTCCTTGTCTGGTATCCCAGCACCTTTCATAAAAGTTCGTGGAGGAAAATTGAGCTTGAAATCTATTAATAGACTGTTCCTGCTCTTATCTGAACACAGTAACTATAGAATCCAGCATCCTTTCCCTTTAATGAAAACACGTTATTCCCTTAAATCAACCTGCTGCTCTGATGGCCCTCTTGTTCTTGCCTGGGTTAGACTCCTGGTCTTCAAGCTCTATCACTCAAGTGATCAGTGGCCTCCGATCCCAACTGCTCATTTTTAAGAAGAGACTTCCTGTCTTGCGCACCCCCTGCACCTCTAATACCTGTGTAGTGCCTTTAATGGGGGTGCTCAATAAACAGTGGATGAGGAAATGATCCGCTACAGCATTAGGAAGTGAAGTTCCCTAGCTTCTGGACTTACTTATTCCACCTATCAGACCACGTAAAGTCTCTGAATTATTTCCATAGTTTTACTGGCAAATTCATTAAATCTGTTTAGTTCCCTGGTCAGTAGCTTCCACAAATGTTTTGTAGCTATGTTACCCATAGGTGAAGTAAAATCTTTGTTACTGGAAGTTTGTTCACTTCAAAAACTAGTGCAGTTAACAGTAAAAGAAAACTGGAGACGGCTATGATGAAAAACAGTGGCTTATGTTAAGAGAAGGGAAAAGTGTAGAAGCAAGCCTTATGGGAAAGCATTAATTATAATTTACTTCTTACAATTTCAGGCCTATAGTTTACAATAAAAACTAAGACATATAAGACATTTATAAAATAAATCAACCTGACACTCATTTCAGTTGCAGAAAATCTTAAGAAAGGTAATGGGATGTAACAGTATTTAACACAAAGGACTATAGATGCAAAATAAAGCCTTAAGGAGATTCCAAAGAGTGTGGTATACATAAAGATAATCCAGGCTATAACAAATATTACATACCTACTTCATGTGTAAGGTACTACATTAGACACCGGGAAATATAAAGTTGACAAAGTCTCTGTCTTTGCCATAAAATAAATAAGATATAGCCCTGGCTGGTGTGGCTCATGTGTTCAGGTGTCCCGTGCACCAAAAGGTTGCTGGTTTGATTCCTGAGAAGGGTACATGCCTGGGATCGATCCCCGGTAGGGGGTGTGCAGAGGAGGCAGCTGATCAATGTTTCACTCATTGATGTTTCTTTCTCTCTCTCTCTCTCTCTCCCTTCCTCTCCCCCTAAAAAGCAATAAAAAAATCTTAGAAAAAGTGAGATATATTCATAATCAGAATTCAAGGAAGAAAGTGATGATGTACCTTAGAAATGTAAAGATACAATATTAGACAAGATCAGAAAAAAGATTCTAGAAGGCATTTGAGCTAGGTCTTGAAGACTCAATAAAACTTGAAAATGTATCAGAATTATATTGTCTTACACTATTTGCTGTTTGATGTGAATTAATTTTATCTCTCCTAATTCATAAGATCCTTAAAGGCAAGGAACTGTTATTATCTTTTACACTACTATGGTGTTAAAGGCTACACATAGGTAGACCTTCAAATAGGTCTACCTACAACGGGGCTGACAGACAGGTGGAAGGCTTACCTTCAGGCTGTGTTTCTACTCGAAGAGGAGCTGAACTCTCTCCAGAGCCATGCTTGTTATGAGCCATCACTCTGAAGATATACACAGTCGCTGGCATTAGATTTTGAATGGTTACTTGCATTTCTCCTGGGTGACTGGTATTCTCAACACGTTCCCTTTGGAAAAAGAGGGATTCAGAAAGAAAAAGCATTGATTAGGAATATTTCTAAAATGTGCAGTTTCATTTTCATTGCAATGCCTACAGATACCACACCACATCAAAATCTTATCAATTTAAGTCAAATTAACTCTCAATAAAGGAAACTTTTGGGTATGGAACAGTGCAGAGCAGAAAAAGGAAACTTACAAAGAGCAATGCCATCATGTCTGACAACTTACTGATGTTCTTGTTTAAATATTACTGATATCCCTGGTTATAACCACAACTTCTTTGCAGAGAAGACACAGACAGGATCTTCTCAATGCCATTTCAAATGGGGCAGCTGGTCATCAATTTTTGTAGGCTTCAGAAATCACTGAATTTTAAGGGGCGATTCTCAGGGAGACAGATGGTGATTATAGGTATGACCCTATTTTCACAGAAAATATCAAGGGATGCTGTACGTATTTTTGATAACAGACTCTCAATACAAGGAAACGTAGAGATGATTACTTTTAAAATCAGGAGGAAAACATTAAAAATTTAATGAAACCTAACAGTAACTTAATCTATAAAATAGACTAATCATGACACTGGTTTTTGTAATTTATTTTTTAAAGAGAATACTCTTTTTGAATGATTTTTTCAAAATGATTTGAAATGTTTGACAAATCTTATCACAAATAGTACAAATGAATCTAGCAGTCTAGTGTCATGAGATGAAAAGATAAACATAATTTTCTAGGTTCTCTAAAAGAAGGTAGTGTCCAGACTCAATCTTGGGGGTCTTTGTGTCCACATTTGGGTCTATAATTATGCTCAATCTACTGTACTTACTATAACAAACAACAAATCATATTACGCAAGAGTTTTCAACAAATAATTTAAAGAATTTACTTGTTTTCGACGAAGAACTAGCCTTCAAATATTGCCAATCATGTGAGGAAAGATCTGTATCTATCTTGAGAGAGTAATAAAAGGGCCCAAAACTACTCTGTGGAAGAAAGTATTTGAAATTACCTAGTACATTGAATTACAATTCTTACTTTAAAATATTGATAATTTTCCCTGAAATTACTGATTAAAATTTGTTTAGTTCTTCATGACCATATCTCAATTTGTCTGACTGTAAATGAACATTTACAATCATTTTAGAGACTTAACTGTTTTTCAATAGTTTTCTATTGTTCTTTAAACTACCTTCTCTTAATTAAAACAAATAATACCCACATCATATTTATAGAGGTTGTTTTTCTATAATCAGGTATATTGAAAAGAGTACTATGGTAACAAAATTTACTGCTCAGAGATGTTTGAGGTATTTATAGATAGTATTTTCTCTTCAGCTAAAACTCTAATTCACAAGATTTGGAAGGAAGATGGCAACTGATTTTTTCATTTGAGGTTTCTGACACTTGGTTTGATCACAAATGATTGCTGTCTAAAAAGAAGATGTATTTTACATCTCACTAATCTAGCAATTTTCAATCTTTTTTATCTCATGGCACACATAAACGAATTAATAAAATCCTGTGGCACACCAAAATAAATATTTTTTGCTGGTCTGACCAAAAATAGGTATAATTTTGATTCATTCACACCAGATGGCTACTGTTGTGTTGGCTGTTGTCATTTTTTATTTGACAATTAAGGTAAAAGAGGTCAGTGCCCCTGACTAAATAGTCAGGTATCGCATGTTTTAAAAGTTCTTGTGGCACACCAGTTGAAAACTGCTGAACTAAACTAAAAGCTTCAAGTGAGAGCACAGATTAGGTCTGTTGTGCTCTCTGCACTTAAAAATTTGAACAAGTTCTCTCTGAGAAAGATGGGAATGCTACTTTACTTTAAACTGAAGTGAAAGAGTATCTCATGCGCGCTCACATTCCACAGAAGCACTTAGCAGATGCTCATACGCAGAAGCAGCATCACAAATGTGTGCCAAGTGAACGAATGGAAACTTGCCTTCTGATATGTAAATCCTATATAGTAATGATATTATGTATATCTTTGTTCTATGTGAAGGGGAAAAAATGGGAGAAATGAGTGAAGGGAACTAAAAACCTAGAACAAGTTTTAATAGAAGCATTATAATTAAAAAAGTCAGCAACAGTTATAGTCTCTAGGATGAAATACCCAGCACCTGAAAAGGTTTCTAACACTAGATGGGTCTGAGGCCCCAGAACCAAGTGTCTGCCGAGTAAAACATTTCAGGACAAGACAGAGGGAGAGTTATAAAGAACAATTCTCATAAACATGTAAGGTTACAATGGGACTTAGATTAGAAAATGTTAGCTAAGAGTCAAACAGAAAGAACAAGGTATACTTCATATTAAGACAGTATTGGGCTAGAAGTTAGGAGCTCCAGTTCTAGTTCTGGCAACACTGCTAGCTTGCTAGGGGACCGTGGGTAAGTCACTAATTCTTTGTGGGCCTCAGTTTATTCATGTATGAAATGAAAAAAATGAGATCAGGGTGACAGACTATTTTTTAAAGGGCCAAATATTTCTTAAACATTTATAGGCCAAGAGGCAAAATGGAAAATATGTAGTTACTTATATAACCTATTACAACGAAACCATTTGACAATGTAAAAACTATGCTTAGTTCCTGGGCCTTAAAAATAACAAGTCTGATTTAGCCCAGGATCCATAGTTTGCCAACTCCTGGACGAGACTAACAGATACCTAAAGGCTTTGTCCAGCTCCAAAATGCTACTCATTTCTGGAATAACTTACTCTATATTCTCCATTTAGTAGCTAATATCAGAAAAGTACTGCTGTTTACATTAAAGTCACTTAAAAAAGGGCAAACATTTCTTAGCTGAAAAGGCAGAGCAAGGACCCTTTGAAACTCAGGAACTCAACAGAATTTTTTAGCTCATGACCAAGGCACATAGTGCCATCTAGTGGTTGAATTTTCAAATGTAGGAAGCAGGCTTATAAGTCTGTGAAGAAAAGTTACTTTTTAATGAGAAAATTTAGGTTTATAAAGGTTAAATAAAATTTCTTTAAAAAACAAGTAAACAGCACCTAGTATTTTTACTTGTTTTTATACTCCTTCACTGCTTCTATTCAGAAATCATAAAGTAATGAAGTGACAAAACATATTAGTCTCCAAGAATCTGCCTTTCAAAAATTTGCAGACTTATTCTGTCTACTCCTGCTGTCATCTTCATCCAGGCCATACCTACCACACGTGAAGACTGATATTTTGTTTTTCTGACTCCATTTCTTCTCCCCTCTAGTTTTATGTGGTACTCTCAAAGTACTGCTAATAAAAGCTATTTAATAAAATCACAGTGCATGCACACTGGCTCAGGAGTCTAAAATGGTCCTTCATAACTGATTATGTCCAAATTCTTACTGGCACTCCAACACTTTGCTCCAAACTTCCACTTTATTTATAATTTCTAACTAATTCCTACCCAAAACTCTGGGCCAGTTAGACTTTCTTAGTTTCCCATACTTCAAACACCACACACACAAATTAAATTGGATCCTCCTTGCATCTTCTCTTCCTTTATACTGTATCCCCTACCCACTGAACTCTTATATTTTTTTTTCTCAATTCCAACTTCACTTATTAATCGTCCCTGCTTATTTCAACACATAATTTTAATTTTTTTAATGTGACAGATTTTCATTAAAAACAAAAGTATATATAGTTAAAAAAAAATTAAAAGTCCCAGTTTTCCTTGCTCCTCAAAACCTGTCCTACCCAGAGACCTAACTGTGGCATGTGCTGGCCTGTATCTTACCAGATCTCCCCAAGCCAGGTTCTCTCAACCTCAACACTACTGAGATTGGGGGGCAAGAGAACTGTTTGTTGTAGGGAGTCATCCTGCACACTGTAGGATGTTTATCAGGATCTCTGGCTTCCATTCACTAGATGCCAGTAAGCATATCCTCCAATCTCAGTTATGATAACCAAAAATGTAGCCAGACATTGCTAAATGTCTCCTGGGAGGCAGGGGGCACAAGTGTCCCTGGTTAAAAATCACAGCTGTAGGTACTTACATATACATCAAAATATATACATACAAGTCACTTTTAAAATTCCTGCATCACACATCATATGGATATACACATACTAATTATGTGCCCATTCCTCTATGTAAGACATCTACAGTTTCCTTTTTTCATTCTTAGGAACAATGCTATAATAAACATTTTAAAAGAGTGCCCTACGCATATGTATGTCTGTGTATCAATAGGACAGACACCTAGAAGTGTAATCATTGGGGTGAAGGGTATGTGCGTTAAGAAGATACAAAATTCTGCCAAATCACCTTCTTCAAAGGCTACTCTAATTTATACTGTCACCAGGAATCTAGAGTGGATTTCTTCCCAGCATTTAACTTGCTGAACACTAGATATTATCAACTTAAAATTTTTGCCAGCCTTATAGATGAAAAATAACTTCTTATTTTGTATTTCCAAGATTGGCAGTGACAGTGAAAACCATTAACTTTAACAAGCTTTCCACTAACTTTGTCAATCAGCATCTACTTGTACCATTTCTCTTGGGATATGTCTTTTACTTATGATTGTAGGAGCTCTTTATACAGATTGAACATCAATACAATCTTTTACAAATATTAGATTTTCCCACCTTATGACTTGATAGTTTGACTTTGTTTATGATGTTTTATCATATGGAATTTTACACAGTTATATAACAATAAAAATAACTTCTATATTTTTTGATACATTTATCAGTTTTAAAAATATCTCTTGATCCATCTGTAATTTGTTGTTATACATGATACAAGACAGAGAACTTTTTTTCTTTCCACCAAATGGAGTTAATTATTTCAATAATCTCTTGGTTATTATTTCTCCACAGACTGAGATTTATTCTCTTAACAAGTACTTATTTAGTGCTACTACATGCCAGGCTCTGTTCTAGGTGCTGGTGACACTGTATTGAACACAATCAATACATTAATAAAAAAAAGAAAATTTCAGAGTGTTACATGTTCCAAAACAAAAGCAAAGAAATAAAACAGGGTGAAGTGATAGCAGTGGTGTTCTGGTCAATGTTTAACAGTCAGCTCTGGTTTGTAGCACTTGTCACTGCAAATACTCCCATCATGTCCAATTTTAAGCTACCAAGCCATGTCATCAGGTTTATAAAGTTTCCTGAAAATTTAATAACTGGCTTAGAAACAAGGTGGCTCTAGTGCAGCATAGTGTGAAAAGACTGAGAGGTTAAGCTGGGTGGGTTCATGGAAGCTTGAGCAGGTGTTATCTGAGGGTGACTGACAGACAAGAGCCAAACACAGTTATTTGTGAGGAAAGTACACTTTTAGTAGGAGGAACAGGGTGAAGGTCCTGTAGTGTAAGCAAGCTTGCTGTTCTGAGGGGCTAATGCTTTCTTCCTCCTGTGAAATCCTATGAATTTGCAATGAGATTTGAAAGCCAGTTGGAGGCTTTTTAACATAGATGATGTTTGGTAGTAATGTCTTGCCTTTCTATGTTAAGAACTATGTTTTCTTATCTTTGTAATTCCCAAAACATCCAGTGCAATGTTCAGACAAACATTACCCTATGAGTGGCTCCATCTATCTGGCTCAATTATGTCACTTGAGCTGCTCAAGAGTGTTAAATCAAGGGGTTTTCACTTGATTAAGGTTCCTATACCTGCTAAACTTGCCAGTGTGGTATTAAAGACAAAATATATCAAGTGTCAGCACCCTAAGAGAAATACAAACTTTATTTCATGTGTTAGGGCCCTAACCAAAACAGACATTTTAGCTTTCTTATTCTGGGGTGAAGTAACAGCACAATGAAAGAATCCATTCAGCAATGTTAGGAACACAAAGTTAGCATATGGCATGGTTCCTCCCAAAGAGTTTATAATTAGGCTGGGAAAACAACACTAATGCACATAAAATAACAGAAGAGTAACTAATGGCAGCACAAGATGATGTGCTATCATAACTAAGTGCCAGTATGAGTGGTACAAACACATATGTAAGAGAAAAGGGTAGAGAAAGCTTTGTGAGGGATCATGGGCCCAGAAGGATGAACTGAATTTAGCTTCAGCTGAGAAAGGGGAAAGGGGGATGTGAATGAAGAGACTAGATTGGGAAAAAGGCTACACAGTGATAAGAACTAGACTAGTGTCATTAGAAAGTGAGTTCAACTGGGAGGTAAGGAAAAGAAGCATGGACAGATAGAATACAGCTAGACTGTGGAGTAAAGCAGCCTGGGGATTCTGGATAACCTATAAGCAATGGAGAGGCATTGTGAGGTCCTGAAAAGGGTAGAGATGGAGAGGAACTTAACGAACGTGTTGTTTTTAGGGAAATTAATATCTAACTACTCTTGTGTCATCAAGGAGACTCCCTGAAGTTCAGCAGTCCACATAAACATAAAGGTGCAGGTAAATGTTCTTTCAGATTACTTTAATAAGTTAGGTCTACCTTAATTTCTAGAATCTGAAAGTTGTAAATAAGCCATATCTTATTAGGCTGTGCTGACTGAATCTTAAGAAAAAAGGGTAGCTCTCGTTACATTTTAATACTTCAACCTCAATAGCTCTATCTACCCTCTCTCCAAGTCATCCCAGAGAGGCAGGAAAGAATACCAAGACTTCAGTCTGTTTGGGAATTTATTTATAATGGCCTAACATTAGGAAAGATGCATCTCAGTGATCATATTTTCTGGACTGAAAATTGGTCCAGATCCTGCACAACAAAGAGCCCGGGTGAGCACAACTGGGCTGGGGGGATCAAGATGTAGCCAACAGGCTTCAGACACATGGGCACTTACCTAGCAATCCCCTCCTTGGCATAGAAGACAGAGTAGGTAAGATTGTCTCCATGAGGATCTGATGCAGGTGTCCGCCACGTCAGTTTGATGAAGCGGGTAGAGACCAGAGAGGCCACGACATCCCGAGGAGCTGAAGGCAGTGGTCCCGTTGTGGCTGGTGCTAGATGGTCAGTAGTGGCACTGGTCAGTGAAGTGGGAGGTAATGTTGGGATGGCAACATCTTGTCATGTGCAAACATTGGGGAATATGAAGGGCAAACCACGACGGTTTTAAAAAGGAGAACAGAAAAAACAAAAAACAAAAAAGAAATAAACAAAACCACGATGGGAAATAAAATAAAATGAATAAACATAAAAAAGGCCATTAAACTGAAGGCTGACATGCAGGCCAGGGGGAACTACCGAAAACTAATGGGCACTATTCAAGATACATCACTGTTGAGCAAGCAGACTTTCTGGTCACTATAATTGTTGTAGGCAAGGGACAGGGAGGGTGAAAGTTGAGAGTAAAACATCTCACAGAAGGACACAGCAGTGCCCAAGTAATTTTCTTTAATCCCGAAAGCAGCATACAGCATCTGTCAACCTTTGCATGTAAGTCTCATATATGATAAAACCTCAATATTTTCTACTTTATCAGAATGTGGAATGATGTGTGCAGTACACACGAGCCTAGTTACACTCAACATAGGTGTCCCAGGCTATCGTGACCTCACTGCAGAGGTCTGTCTTCAGTTCTGCAGGGATTCAAGAGGCACATTTTCAACTTTGGTCTAATATTAAACTCTGCTCTCTGTATTGGCAATATACAGAGACAACCTTCCTGTACTGACAACCTTCCTCACTTCGCTAAGTTACAGTTAATTTGCTATCTTATCAATTCATTTAACTACAACAGTTTAAAATTGTGAATCAAAAATTCTGAAGCCACAAAAATACAATACGTAGATAGCTTATCTGTTTGTTACAGTTCTCACCACAGTGTATATTAAAAGGGATGGATAGATGGAGCAGTGGAAAGCCAAAGCCCTGCTAGTCAAAAGCTCTGCACACCTATAGTTGTGGGTAACTTTATTACCTTCTCAGGCAGTCCTGTGGACACTTCTGATGTTACAAGTTTATTCCTAATATTAAACCTAGCATCTCCTTCACATTGGGGCTAAAAAGCATACGTTTAATCTCACAATTTTTAACTAAAGGAGTTCATTAGAACTGTGCCATAACCTTAATGGGGAAATTAGTAGGAGAAGCAGAGAGGAAAACATGAAAATTCTCAACCTAGTTTTCAATGAAATGGTACAGCAACAACCCCTTGGAAATGTCTGTGAACTTTAAGAAACTCTAAAGCGAGGTAGCCTAAATAATATGCCAAAGAGAATAGATTCTCTAAGGGCAAAGGCGGAGGAAGAACAACCTGAAGTCTCTAGACAGGTGAAGAAGGGGAGAGAGTCACCCAACTGCCACCACTAACTGGACACTTTCTACACAGCACGCTAGAGCTTTTACGGACTCAGTCAATTCTTTCAACAACTCTAGAAACAGGTACTATCACATATCTCTACTTTATATGCTGAGACCAACCTTGCTCATCTGAGGTCACACAGACTAAGTGCTAAAGTGTTAAAACCAAGCTTGGTTTTTAGTTTAAGAGGTCTCTGGATTTAGCCAAATAGGAGTTCTAATCCTGGCTGTGCCACTTACTAATTATGTCACCCAGGGCAAATCAGTTATTCTCTTTCTCTAGTTCCTTTTCCTCTCCTTCTGTGGAATTTTAAGAGCGTGGGGTGCTACCAGAATGTAAGACAATAGTATGGGGAAGGCCTGGGGAGGGTGGGGAGCAGATGC